TATTGCTGATACATGCAATACTAAAACATATCTTATCATAAAGATATTATTATCAATTATTATTAGTTAACATTATTGTATCTGTTTTATCTGTTACCAAATGATCAAATAGTGATTAGAAATTATTTAAGTAGCATCCATTGATTGTGAAAAGGGAKAATTCCATATATGATGTTATAGTCCAATAGGCACATGACAACAATGATGTTCTAGAGATAGCTAGAGGTGTATATAACATACCATTTCACGTTGTCAAAGCGTTAACTGCTATAATCAAAAGAAACAAAAGAAAGCAGAAGAGAACGCTAGCGTTAAGCTTAGGAGAGACCTACTTCAAAACTTCAGAAGCTTCTCCATCTTTTTATAGTGCATGATTTCTAATTTTATCTGAACAGCTTCAAAAGAACAATGAAATTAACGACTATATATAGAAACACACTTTATGGAGTTTGTGAACCCACTTAATTAGCCAAATAGAAGCATAAAGTAGRGAGTTGACGCCTACATGCCCCATTACAACTTTTTCAGGGCTATTCTGGTTCACTGTTTCAGGTAGTATTCCAATACAAGAGATAAATGGAATGTCCGAAACTCCGGTTCCCCGGAGATTTGCTTACCGTGGTATATTATCACTAAAAATGAATGACTTCTCGATTAAACAAGAAACGATTCGTGCTCTTTAAGTGATGATGGAGCGACTATCYCACATGTTATCTTGCGTTGCATAAACAGAACGCCAAGTGTTTTATCAAGAGTTAAACAGATGTGAGTCATTGACGAGAGAATGCRTGCACTGAATGTCGGGATATGGGAGTTGGAAAATGCAAAACAACATATTCCATCACGTCCAAAATGATTCAAACTAACCAGTTCCTTCTAAACTAATGCGGGTTTTCTACTCTCTTGAGACCCCGCCAGAGTTGACCACGCACGCTAAACAACAACCTTTTCTATGAAACTTGTGAAGTTGTAATTGTTCGGAAATGTGAGCAATTTAGATGAAAGTTGTGTGGTTTTACGCTACATTTCTTACCAAACCTTTTACAAAGCCGCCCTCACGTGAACTACCGACAAAAACCCATCACGCATCAGCCATAACATGATACACAATGTACATGCAGAATTATTGGTGGCAAAAACTGTAAAACAATCACGAATTTGCTGGGTGTTTGGTCTTCCCTCGCTGCTTTGTGCAATGCTCATGTACAGTACAATTTCTTGTAGATCTAAAGAATGCCATGTTAATCGAGATTTTTCAAAGATTTTTTGTGATAAATGATTGTACAATATCTGTTAAACATACATGATGTATTTACGAATATGAYCACTATTATCACAGAAACTAAAGCTGGCATCAGGAAAGAATCAAATCTCTCTGAGATATATAGTGRAATAAGGCGAGTTCTACAGGAGCTCCATGGAGTTGCGAGTTTCTCGCTTCCTGTAAAATTTTAGTTACATCATCGTTGACGTTTCCTAAGAGGAAACAWTTTATGACATGACATAGTGTCAAGACCAGCTTTTTAGTGTTYACTTTATAATTAGTACAAGAGAAGCACACAGCTGTAAATCAAGTATCATTTAAAGATTCTGGGCTGTTCTGGAAAAAGCATTTTCAGATATTGCCTGCAAGTTTTGGAAATGTTGGAAATGGCATTTTGTAAGATAAAGATGATGGTGTAGCAGTTTTGAACAATAATGACTAGTTTATTATACAGAATTTCAGTTCTGTTTGACTGTTTTGTTTTTTATTGTTTTCTTTGGTCATTTGTCAACCTGCATTGTATATTTCGGGCCATTCAGCGAACAACGATGGAACTATACTTTGTCATAACATCACAAAAAAATCTTTCACTTCTTTAGAAAAACAGTTTAAATGTAGAATTCAATCATTCAGGTACTCTCTATTCTCATAAATGTGCATACTATTACAGAAAATTACTGTCAAATGTTCAGTGAAAAGTTTTCACCTTTTGCTGTGCACAAAACATCACTTTTTCTGCAGGTTAAATGTTAAATGTTCCACATTACGTTGATAGTCTGGTTTCAATTGCCTTAAAAAGGGACTTCAATGAAAACACGTTCGTCTTGTTATGTATATAACGTGGCTATTATCTGTTGATAAGTCCACAGTTTATGTATACATTGATAGTTAATACTTTACTCTAAAGAGGGTTTAATCTAGCCTGACCTCCAAATTCCGTAGTGTACGTGGAGCTACTAAAAAGTTTGTTTGTAACGCCCGGCGTAACAGTCATTCATTCATAAGTGGTAGCACTTTTCAAGAGACTTTTAGTGTCTATTTAGCATCGATGAAATTCAGAAGACGTTTTGGAATGGTTAAGGTATTGCKATGAGATGAAAATGCAGTGTCAATGATCATGTTGAGATGGTTGACTTTGATCATGCAGTAGCATTATAGCAGCCGTGATGAAAGCAGGATAGCTAGTCCGTTTCAATCCGATTTGGTCACGGCACGGAATATGTTTAGAAGTTAATTAATCGTTATTTACATTAACAGAACATAATCCTAAAAGTCCTTAATTTAGACACTTAAGGTGTAAGCCAAATAATGGCAACCTTGCTACCAGAAGACGTTGTTTACTGTTTGGCACCCACATGGTGAAGATCTAATTAGTCTAAATGGTCATACAACAATAGTGTTATTAAACCTGTACCCAACAATAACTCACCGTTTCTCGAAGACTTTCATCTTGTGTTTCAAGAAACGAATSTCGCGTCGGAAAGAACGCACGGACCGCCGTCGCTTCTTCTTCTTCTTCTTCTTACCTCTTCTTCTYAGTTTTGGCGGTTTCACGGATAGCATTCGTTTTACRCTTTCATGTTTCTCTTTAAGTAGCTGTCCAACTGTTTTCTCAAGGATTTCAAGTGCTGACTCCATGCGGTGAAGTCTATCTGTTGTGTGATGCAGTTCAGTTAAAACATCACTTCTGCCCTCTTCCTTTCGTAGTAAAACAGCAACCTGACATACCAAATAAAGACTCGCAGCCACGCAGAGTATCGTTCGACTTATTTCCCAATGCCTTGTCCAAGTTAAACGAACTGAAAATTGTCTGGAGTGATCTCGGAGAAAATTTAAAGAATCCATCTTAGTACGAACCATTCAAACTTCAATTTGATGTACAGATAGTTTTTCCATAAGGTTGATCTTCAAGTGCAACGATCTTGGGCCAAACACAAGAATCAGAAAATTTCCAAAGGTCTGCCGCTCGAGGAACATTGTCGCCTTTTTGTATTCTGAACYCAGGATATCGATGTAGGTWAGATGTTGCAGTCAATACGGCATAATTAAATACCATGCTTGAATAAATGCCGTGGTGAGCTGTCCGGGGTCAATTTCAGAATGTGTAACTTGAGACAGTGGTGRATAAGCCAGTAGTTTAAACAACAGACCATAGGGTATCGATATCGCATCAACTTTATTCTTATGCAAAACATCACCACGTAAAAGACTTGACGCGTGATGATATCTTCAGGCAAYCATCTCCTTTTCTCTTTCTTGGAAAGATGAAGGCCTRTATGACAACTCTCCGGAAATMTRCCCAATTTCCACTTCCCATTGACATGAAATTTTGATCCAATTTTAGATGGATCAGTCATTTAACTCAGGAGAGTGTAATTCCTGTCTTTGGTAAGTATTATGCAAATGTACATCAACCGCCCATCGATGATCTAAAGGTCAGAGACGGAACAAAGCAGAACTCTACCACAAATTTGATCATTTCAAAAGATAACCACAAGATTGCTGCTAAAGACCTGGACGAGATGACGTTTGCTGATGAAAGTGGAAGTTAATTATATGATAAGAGAGGAGATATTTCAGCGCCTGGTTTATTAGCAAAAGGTGCTTAAATGGTTTATATTACCCGAGGATTTTAGCCATTATATGCAGTGTTTCATCCCATGTCATTTGGTAAAGGAATGGGCTGATTGAAGACGATAATGAAGAGGTCAAGTGATGCATGACGTAACTCACTGTGCGGTAAGTTTACATTTTGAGGGTAATTGTTTGAAAGACTTAATCACAGGGAATACTTCGGTAAGTATGTACAAAGACAGACAAGGAGCACACAAGTAAACAGGCAAAGTAATGGAAAAATAACAGCCAGAACGAAAACAGCAAAAACTGTCAAGAAAGCAGGAAATTTGACAGTCCGAAACTACTATACCAATGAGCKCYCTTTCCACGAAACACCACACTTATATTGGAATATTTTGAATATTGACTTAATGAGTCATAGATACGTGATGGACAATGGTTGATATAGACGATTATTTTGTAGATGGTAAAGAAATGAAATTGAGGGATAATGAGAATGGGATAAAGAAGGGTCAGGAAAAGGACCAATTCATCTAGAAACGCGTGACAACAACGCGTTGCGTGAGCTTTAACGAAACTRCACGTACAAGAAACCTTTGGGTACTGCGTTAATTAGAACACGATYCACACACAGTTCCCAAAACCACGGACTCAGCAGTAGATATGTTATTCAAAAACAAAACCCAGATGTGAGCATCCAGAGAAATCCCTATCGCCCCAGGCAAGGCAATTATGTTAGCCGTTCAAAGTACCAAAGGGGTTTGACAGATGAAAAGGCTTTAAGAGTGGAAACATTTCTGCTAACAATCAAGTACAAAATGGCTTGCAGACAGCATAACAAGTCAATCATCTTATGTTAAGCAAGACAATTAGACGGGAATTTCCCTAATAAAGAGGCACTTGAACGTCTGTAAGTAATGATCTTAGTGCCTACCATTTTATAACGATGATGGTAACACGAATAACTAAAAAAAAAATGACAAAAAAAAACACGATTTTAACAAAGATAAGAAATGGATGAAATATTTAAAGAATGACAGGAAAAACGCACTTCACCAATCTTAAAAAAACTAAACTACTCGGCAGATTCAATGTATATTATTAGAATATAAGTCAAGCAAAATATGTAGTTTAGAAAAATATAAGATTCAAGACGTTAGAGCTTTGTTATGTTATTTAATGATGTTAATACGAAATTATTATCATCAATATTATCTTTTCGCTGCAACGGTTTACAATGAACATGTACAAAATAGTTTAAATGCAAAAAAATTAAAAAGTTTAGATTGCCATGATACATTATGACAACTTGTTGTACAAGATGTGTAATATCCGCCATGTTGGATGAAATTTCAAGGATTCCTCATCAGTCTCTCTTGCTCATTCACCCAACATAAAAGCTTTATTCTTTTTTACTCTCGAGAGATTTCTGGCCATGCGCTACTCAAAGAATGGGGTGACCTACGTAGCACGCAGTTGATGTAATGTATTCATAAAATGTATTGTATTCCATTGTTTCTCGTTCTATTGTATTATGTGTTTTGTTTTGTATTATATCTTTATGAATATATTACATCAACTGAGTGCTACGTAGATTCTCCCACTCAAGAATGGTTGCATTTTCCACAGGAACTCCGAGATTATATGCACATAATTTAAACAGTCTCTAAACTATATACTACATAAGAATCCCTGACCTATGCCTTCTTGATTAACAAGTGCAAAGTAGCATTGGGTACCAGCCCACACTCTACCAACGTAGCACTAAGATCACTGTACACCTTATTAGGAAATGAGGACTTGATATTGTAATCAGGAGCACCTTTTGGCCTGGTGGTAAAGAAATCCTTTAAGTTTTTTTCATTGACTTATGGAGGGATGGACAGGGGATTAATATATACTTTGGGGGGAAGTGAGAGTCTTATATCGTACCTGACAGCATTTAGATGTTCTCTTAAATCAGCAATAGTATCAGTAAAGCTCATCTTTACTAAATATGTCTGAAAAACAAAAATAGTGTTGTAGAAAATAAGAATTTAAACCAATTGTTTGATACTCATACGACAATAGGATAATGCGATACATAGCTGCAGGCAAAAGTTTTGTTGTGTCAACTGGCCTTATATATATACCTATATAAAGTAATGGGAATTAACCATTAACGTACGAGGGAACTTAAACATTTTAGTATGAATTATCACACATCAAAAACACCTTTTCTCCTGTCTCAGATTTGATTCTTAGGGTCGTTACTTTAGTTGTTCCTGTTTTTGGTCTTTCTTTACTCTTATCATTCTCCTCAGCCCTGTCAAACAAGCAGAAATGTTGTGGTTGAATAATGTGATACTGCATATTATGCTAGTGCAATCCAAGACCAAAATGCATTGATGCTATTAAACTAGACTTTAGCTGCCTTAAAAAGACAAGTCTAAACTAATTGCTTTGCATTGAGTTCTCATTTAAACATTGTGTCAGTGGTAAAGTCACTATGAAACCAGAGTTTTCTGGTTTTCTCACTGACAAAAGGACCAGTGTGAGATACTGTAATGTCATGGTAATTATATAATTTTTTCTTGGATACAAATATAAGTTCTCTTTAACCTTGTTTTGATGTCATTCAGAGCAGGAGTGTTCACTACAACTACGCTTGAAGGCTGTCCATCACTTCCCTAGAAAACAGGGGAACAGCGACACTTTAGGGTAATAGTCTTCTTCACGGTTCCCTGCATCACCTTGAAAGGTAGCCATGCCTTTGAATCGAAGCGAGACGACCGTTGAGCGTGCAATGATAGAAATCTTCTTTCACACCTACAGACAATTATTCACAGGTATCTATCATTGCACGCTCAATGGTTGTCTCGATGCGATGTAAACTCACGGCTACCTCTCAAGATGGCACATCTAACCGTAAAGGAGACTATTGCCAATTTTAAATGTGCTTGATTATCTTTACAGTGGCAAAATTATTGACTTGGACAGCTGTCTAATGATTACCTTAATTGTTTGCTCTATACCAGATCGTACATCAATAATCTTGCCAGCCTTAACCACAGATTGTGGAAGTCTTGACAGAAAATTCTCAACTGAGCTCTTAGGTCCTGAATTATTACATCAAAAATATTCCTTTACTTCAAACCAATACAGTTGTGCCAAGCTGATAACACACTAGTGCAAGTTGAATACTTAAGATAAATGGAAACTTTCCATTCTCACATACTACGGTGGAAATATTCCTGGAATTTTACCTGGAACTTCACTGGTGACTTTCCCAGTTTCTCTGTCATCTGGTGAGTCTTTCAATAAACTCTGTCCTTCACCAGGAAAGAGGATTTCTGTTCTTCTATCTTGATATGCTATCTCTCTTTTATCAGAGACCTTAACATCAAAATTTAATTCAATTTTTAACAGTAGAAAATATATAAAATGGAGAAAAGTGGAGCGTTTGCAAATACAAAATTATTGTTCATATTACATGATTATATATCAAAGAATCAAGACAACCACATTAATCAGTTCTTGAAGGAAAAAAAAATGCCAACAATATGTTCACAATAACATTTGTTTGTTTTCTCAATAGTTGCATTTATCAATGAATGAAAATTTAATATTTTTTTTCTTATAATCTGAATATTTGCAGCTAAAATGCATGGTTTCTAAAATTCATATATGTCACTCACATCAAAGGGCACACCATCAGGGAACCTGGACTGTAGTTCTGAAGGGAAATAACCATCCATAATATCTTGAATACATTGCTGAAACAAAGTAAAATATCATGAGCATAAACTTGTGAGTATGTTTAGAATGTTCGCGCTTAAACCTCGTGCAATTTTACAAACTAAATAGTGCTATTTAGTTGTATTTAGAAAATCGTGTATGTGGTACACAAATTAGATTGAATTGATACAAATGAAGCATTCAATACTGTCTTGCTTCAGGCCCACTTTTAGTACAAATTAGTACTACTTAGATTTTGTACAGTTGCATGGTTCAAGTGCGATCACTCTATCCTGTGAAAATGTCCAAAGCAAAATAAAAAGAAATTTGCACAAAATCTGCAACTGAAGCAAAACATCCATTGAATCACCATTGTTTCTTATGAACTTTGCTAAATTGCACAAAATGGTACAAAGAGGTTAATACAATCATACATGGTATGTACCTGAGTTGTTGGGTCAGAATATGGTCGAAATGGCCCACCAAACATGAATATACCATTTGAAAACAGTGTCAAAGGAACTGGATCTGGAACCTGTAAAAATAGAGAGCTTTGTGTAACAGTCATAATAAAGTTAGGACATTAAGATTGTCCAATACCAATCAGTTTATTTTAATTTTATTATTTTTGTAAGCTTTAATCTTTTACTTTTAGTCTTGCACCATCCTTGGTCTTGGAAACAACTGCACACCCCTCCCCTGACAGTATGTTTAGCTCCTTGATGTTCTTGATGAGAAGATCAAAGTTGATTTGTAAGGTGTCTTGTGGGACGGATGCAACTAAGTATCAAATAAAAAATGTCGAAAACAGATATTTCAGAAATAATACATTTGAARAAAAGCACTGACCAATTCAGTTGCTACAGTGGTCATCAGTGAGGTAACTTATTTTGAAGCTAAATCTTACCTGGGTTCCACATTCCACTTTTACTGACGATGTTCTGATCATTAACGGGTCCCTCGTCATCATCAAGAGGCTGATATTCATTCTCTATGTACTGGTTACCAACCCACACTAGTCCATAATCAGCCAGGAATTCCTGGTATCAACATTAAGAAGTCAGATCACTTTTACTCAAATTCTAGGCTCAATAGAGATGGACAATATTGTTATGATAAAACTTTCAAATTGATACAACATGACAGTGTTCTTTTGTTTTAACCAGGTGTAATTAGTAATTAAACTAATACCCTCTACAAACTGTGCTTACCTCCATCTCATGAACTTGGGTTTGGAGAGAGTGACACTTCTGTTCTAAATCCCCAATGGTGTCTGAATTATAACCTTRATAAAAGAAAGCAATATCATACACATYACACCAACTGTCTGACGGTGTGCCTGTGTCAA